AAGGGTCTTGGTTACAAACACATGCCTGAAATAATGCCATCCGTAGACTTACAACAGAAAACAAAGGCAACAGAGTAATGTACTCAGAGAGAGGAACATCGTCGATGCCTTTTCCATATTTCTGCAAGGATCAGCTTCGTGCAAAGTCAATGAGAGTAACCTTTTCAATTGCATCTGCCCGTTCTCGTGTATGGCGTTTAGTGCCCCAATAGTATATGCATCAATGTCTGCACTAAACTGCTACTCAGTCACATTAACCTATCAGTGTTTATACCCCGGGGGCCAGAATTGTGTCGAAAATGAAAATCGGTGGTGACCAGTCGCGCTAATTCAGCCGCGGCTGACTAGCGGCGATGGGAATCGATAGCTGCATGCCGACAGATTATTGCGATTTGCGACGCGGGTGCCGTCCCCACATTTATGAACAATAGTTTGGAGCTGGCTTTGACTATATTGCTTTTTCTTGCAGAGTGTCCTGGAGGTTGGGTGAGTCGCTTGCAGTTAGCGATTGCATATCGCCAATGTTTTGTCGATCTGTCGCGTCTGCTGAATACCACAATACTTGGAGCCGGACACCCATCCTGTATAGTAGAATTGCGTGTTCTTGTTTTCATGCGAGTAAGCTAGTTAAAAGTGACCGGATATTTCAATACCAGTTAGTCAGACCATGAGTGTTTCGGTGGAATAAGCGGTGTACACCGATATGTTCAGCTGAGTATGATAGCCTGCAAGTTGAGGAATCATCGTCCGTGAAACCCAAACAAGGGTAGCTTATTGTCGCAAGATAAGATAATACTTGGTGATTACGATCCCTCTGTTATAGAGTAGGGAACGACATAGGAAGCTGTCGATGACCTCACGACTTCCAGAGTATTCAATTTCAACCTCCGCGGGCCCCGTACGTCATAAGGCCACTGAAAAGACACTGTTAAGCACATTGTGACAGATCCAAGATCAATAATGTTTATTGTAAAAGAACGTGAGGGTGGCGATCGACGATCTGAACCTATTAGCGTCTCATTCAGCCGCTAGCCGCGGAATACTTATAGTACTAGAGAAGCCACTGCCCGTCCTTAATTTTGCGTTCGCAGCTGGCCTGTGGCTTCTTTTTTCCCATAGTGAGTCGGTAGTAACCATGAAGGGGTATTTTTTGCGGGGATTGGTCATCTCAATGGTGGCTCCCGCAGCATATGCACAGGCTACAAGGGCTATAGCTTCGCTGAGTGCAGCAGCGGCAACTGTGACAACGAGCCCTTCTGCTGCACCGCCCTTGTTTTCTTATGAAGCAGTACAGCTTACTGAGAGTGCATTGGCTAGAGCTGATACCGCCCTTAATAATGCGAGTCTATCGAGGATATTTGCTTTCGGGGCAAGTAACTTGACTAACAGCAGCGGAACCCCCCAGCATCGTTGCAAGGTCATGCCAGGGGATGCGACATGGCCAACCGAATCGACCTGGAGTGTTTTTGACCAGTTGCTTGGTGGGAGTTTGCTTAAGCCTGCACCTTTGGCAGCGTCCTGCTACCCGAATTGGCCCGAATATAACACCGAGCAATGTTCTGAGGTAACATCGAACTGGCTCGACAATTCTCTGCAGTGAGTATATCAGTGCCATACTTCCGCGTCAAGGGAACTTCATGCTGAGAAGTATTCAGCTACGATGATCCTAGCTCCATCATGGCACCCTTGGATGAGGGTCGCTCGTGCATGCCCATAGGGTACAACTATACCAGCACCTGTACGCAAGGCGCTTACCCTACGTACGTCGTCAACGTATCCACTGTTGCTCAGATTCAGTTGGCCGTGAACTTTGCCCGAAACCAGAACCTTCGCTTGATAGTCAAGAACACCGGTCACGACTTTAACGGCAAGCCATCAGGAAAAGGAGGTTTGTCGATTTGGACGCACCGACTCAAAAACAAGGCTTTCTACCCCTCCTTCACGTCTGACGGTGGTTATGTTGGACCTGCTATGAAGCTCGGAGCTGGGGTTCAAGTTTCGGAGGCGTATAACTTCGGGAAAGCGTTGAATGTGACCGTCATCGGAGGCGGATGTCTCTCTGTTGGAGTTGCTGGTGGCTTCACACTTGGTGGAGGCCACTCGCCATTGAGCAGCATGTATGGCATGGCGGCAGATCAGGTTTTGGCTCTGGAAGGTTGGTTACCCCTGTGACTCAACATATCATCATTGGTGACAGTTCACTGATCAATCTTCAGTTGTCTTGGCGGACGGTCGCTTTATTACTGCAACTTCCAAGCAGAACTCAGACGTCTTCTGGATGCTTCTCGGTGGTGGAGGCAGCACAATTGGCGTGGTAACATCCATGACCATCAAGGCTTATCCGAAATTGCCCACGACAATCGTAACTTTCAACTGGACGATGAACGACACTCCAAATGCTGAAGCGTTCTGGGCCGCTTTCCAGTCTTACCTAGACCACTTCGAGGACTTTGTCAACGCTGGAACATATGGATACTATTTGCTGGGATCCTCGGCAGCTGAGAACGGGCAAGCTTCTTCCAATGACACTGACTACAACTTCCGCATGGTCTCCTTTGTTGCGCCCAACATGACCATTCCACAGACGCAGAACCTTCTCAGACCTTGGTTCAATACCCTCAATAGCCTTAACGTTAGCTTTACTCCCGCTTACAGCCATGCGGATAGCTTCTATGAAGTTTGGGAGGAGGATAACTTCCCTCTGGAAACCGGGGGGTTAGACATATACAAGTTGGCTTCACGTCTTTTGCCTCGAAATGTCTTCGAGAACGAGGACCTTCGTAACCGGAACTTCCTTGCTCAAAAGGACGCCGTTGACAAGGTATGCTGACCGTTCAAATCATATTCGCATTAGTTACTAACCGTAGTAGGGCTTATTCATCATGGGCTTCCACATCAGTGGTAAAGGAAGCGCTGTCGAGCCGCCGACGGACATTGCAGTTTTGCCGGCATGGCGTGACGCTCTCTCTCACGTCATCGTCGCAACCGAATGGGAATTCACCTCGAGCTGGGAAACAGTCAAAAATTCTTCACTCTTTGTGACGAACTGGATGGATGCTCTGCGGGAGATCTCTCCCGACTCTGGCGCGTATATGAATGAGGGTGATTTGTTGGAGCCCAACTTCCAGCAGGCATTCTATGGTGCCAACTACCCGCGGCTGTATGATTTGAAGCAGAAGTACGACCCGACCGGGTTGTTCTTCGCTCTTACAGCGGTGGGATCGGAGGACTGGGAAGTTCAAGTCACGGATCCTTTGCCGTATTCGTGGAACAATAATGGGCGGTTGTGTCCGAGATCTTCTTGAAGAGGGGGTGAGGTCAGTGCACGAATGATATGTGAAGAGTAGCGCTTAGAGCCACCAAAATATTCACGGCAATCGTACCTCTTCTCGGTGGAAGGATAGGGGTAAAGAGCGGTTGTCAGTCAATGCAGGCAAACAATTAGAGACAATAATCTGATGATTGATTCCCCATGATCGAAATGATTCCAAGGCCAGGATAGAACGTCAGGATAAGGTGAAGAATGTCGGGAGGACAAAGGTGACACTAGTACCGCCGGGGGACAACCTCGAGGCTGCAGACCGAGAACGTGACTTTCTCGATTCAGCTAGCCCCAACGACGACAAACGAACATAGCCAAGTATCAGATTACAGCTCTAACAGGATGGGAATCACATCCCTTGGTTCTTCGAGCGCATAAACAGCTGTACATTGTCCCTCTTCCTCGACCTGAACCACGAGAACAATAGCCTTCTCTGACCCAATAGTCAAGCATGTGCTATTACCACATGATGAACGAAAACCCGAAGAGCTATCCTCGACAACGATCTATGATAGACGAGCAACTTTTTCGATTAGTACGTGTGCATCTCATAAATGACTCACTCGAGGCAACTAAAGAATAGATCTACAACCGCGACAATCGCGAAAATCCACCTCTCCCCGAAACCCAGCGAGTAGCCTAAACCGGGAATAGTCTACGCGCCGAACGCGACTCAGCTGAGCCCGCAGGCCAAACTGTCCAGTCATTTGCCAACAATCTGGTCTGCATCTGCCCTGGGTGTCAGCAACAGTCTCGGCAAAAAGATTGTCCAACAATCAAAGAAATTCCTCAATTGATACTGGTGAATTGACGGCGGCTAAACGAGTCGGGCTGCAGTCACCAGATAAACCCTCGCGCACATACAAATTACATCATCAGTCATATGAGCGAAAAGAAAAACGAAAAAGGCAAAAGGACATGATGCATGAAATAGATAGGGCCAAGCAGCCAACCTCCCAAATCAGTTACTGGTCGCGGTACTTTATGGCAAGAAGGCATGGTACTTTTGCTCGAGGGCTACATACAGGGGGGAAAGGGATCGGCATGGACCCATCTTTTGTAACGGAGGGTTCGGAAGTCTCCGCGGCGAACGGCAAATGCAATGGTACTTTTGGCCGCATCAGATCGGAGACACCCGGTGGAGCCACCAGTGCTTCAATTTCTACTAGTAGTATTGGGATGTGGCAGGACTCGTAATTGAGGTCTGTCTAGGAACTGAGTCTGGCCCCCCAACGGAACTGGGTTCTTTTGCTTGGTGGGACGGTTTATTGATTTTGTTTCTGTTTATATACTGGGGGGGTAACTTATCTCGGCGGTCGGGATGGTTCCAATACGATGTATCTAGTAAGTGTGGCGTGCTGACGTTGGTAGGTCCCGTCAGCGATAGGAACTAGTTCCATTTCGAACTTCGTGGCGGTGCTGTTGTTCCTCTCTTCCTCCTCTTCCTTCCTCCCCGGGTACTAGGTGGGTGGGAGAGGTAAGAACGTCATCCTACATATCACTCTGGTTCTTCTATGGTTGAACACCAGCTGAGCTCTTCGTATGATTAGGCAACAAAGGGTACACCGGCAGCTGTGACGTCAGGGATTAATCTAATTTAGGGCGCATGGACAGTGTCACCCCACGCTATGAATTTAGCTCATCACAGGGCGTTCATTCGTAACAGGGGCAGCTGAAGGATAGATACATTGTCATAATTCAAGTAGAAAGAGACGTTGGTTAGCTTATATGACCTTTATCTGTGTCAAATAAAGAAAGGTTTATCAAAAATATCCGGACTGGTAGATGGTATATAATGAAACAACGCTGATCCGCTCACGACAAGAGAAATGCAATCAAAAAAATGAGGCCAATAAACGTAAAAATGCGGAAATTTGGGAAAGTCAAATAAAAAGGGAGATCAACACGAAGTGAAGAAAAAGCAAGCAGATGCCGAACAAGAAGAAAGAGTCCAGAAACAACAGAGTTCCGATAAACACCCGGCATCGCCATTTCTCCGGAAGTTCATCAGTCATCGCTAGCTTGAAGGAGATTGCTTTGGTCGGTTGATTATGCGTTTCTTCTCTTGTTCTAGAAGTTCTAGGGCGTTAGATGATGCACAAAAGAAAGCAATAATGGGCAGTACATACCTAAAGCTTCGTTGATCTGGCGCACAGTATCATCATGAATTTTGGCCCATTGGGCTTGGTATGTAGCCAGGTCCGGTAAATCAGAATGTGTGCCATTAGTGGCACGGCCAGAGCCATTGTTTTCGCTGGTGGCACTTCGGTCCATTGTGTGTTACTAGTATGTATGTTGTATGGTCGCCGCCTGAACACAAGTGAAAGAAGAAGACGTCCGTAAGGCCAGATTAAGCTTCGAAGAGGAGAGGGGTGGGTTGAACGCAAGATAAGCTCTCACTGGGAAGTGATCATTCTAAGTCGACCTGCTAGCAGGCTGTCGAGCATATTTATAGACAACTAAGTGGCCCCGACGTCAAGTCCATTCATCATTCCGGGTCTATCGACCTGATAATTCACTCTCCCGTGCCATGTGGCCGCCCGTCGACGAGGAGTCCACACCCTTGTGTATCGGCCTTGTTCGACAATTCCCTTGCATTCCGTGGAATGGACAAGATTTGTTATTCAAAGAACTGAAGAGATGACCCGCTGCTGATGGGGGGGGAAAAGCTTCCCCGTTGTGGCAGAGTGGACAGGCGGTGGATATGCAGGTTAGCTTCTGTGGAATACCACCGTCCGACAATAATGCGCCAGGCCCTTCTTCCCAAAGGGAGCCCGTCGTGACCGACGAGTCCTTGGGACATCAGACTGGTCGGCTCCCGATTGGCCGGGGAAGTAGAGAGAAACCAACATCGGAACGAAGTCGAAGGGCGGGACGGAACACGTAGTTCGCAGGGTGAGGGTTTGTGTGACAGACTGTCGGGATCAACGGTTCTGGTCTGATTGGCTTCTTACTCTCCGATCCGTTCACGCGGATGGTCTTCCGGGCATACTAGTAGTTTTGATCCCGGGTATTGGGCACCGACGAGCCGGTTAGGCTATAGTAGCAATGAATCTATTGTGCGACAAGTGACGACGATGTTGGAGGAGTGGGCCAACTGAGACGGTCGCCGGGCGGAATCTAGAACTCAAACAGAAAGAAAGGGAGGACAGGCGACAAAGAAGAGAGAAAAAATGATGAGAAAAAGCAAAGAGATGCAGATCGACACATCGATCCATGGAAGTTTCGCCCTTTCTTCTTTCGAGGTGTGTGGATGCGTTATTCGAGAAAGTCAGACATGTTTAATTCGGTGGGTATCGCGATTGATCATGTTTCCGATCGGCTGGACCGCGGCGGATGGAGTCCGTCAGCCCGTCTATTGAACCACATCTGCGCAAAAAATGGCTGGCAATTACTTCAGGCGATCAATAGTCCAATCGGGGAAGCAATTCCGTTGTCCATCTTGCAGGACCCTGAGATCCACCACTGACCACAGCTTCATGAATACTTTAGAATGCCGGAAAAAGCACCATTGGCAGATAAAATTGTGGGACGGGAATCTTCTAGGCCTCCTTTTCACCGCCACTTCCGTCGCCCTGTTAATCAGTATTTCCAGCCTCAAGGAAAAGGAACCCAAAGCTCAAAGAACGGCCTGTGGAAGGAAGCCTGTGAGGGTTGAGTTCACCGCCATAAGCGTCAGAACCAACGAACGATGATAAATACTAACCTCCCATCTCTGTGGCTGGCCATTGGATCTGAATGTTGTGGAACCCGGCTGGGTTCCTGATACTAAATGACTAGTAGGATTTAGAGCTGGTGCGAAAGCATGGCAAACCAACAGGCATCTTTCCAGGTACCAGCCGTCGTCGCATGCAAACCCATCATATGACAGGATACATCTCAGCCTCGTTTCACCCGACGACAGGTACAGAGCGCAGGTTTGATACGCTAGACGTGGCCTGTCATGTCGGTTTGCCTAGTGACGAGTTCCCTATTTCGTTATAAGCTCTACTACCTAGCCAGATGGGCAGATATATGTGATGCTGCTGTGTCACGCCCAGTTGTTATAAGGCAGCGGGCCCCGGTTGCATGTTTTCCTTGGCTTGGGCTTCCCTTTGTTTCCGTTCTTCGTCACCTACTAATAATAGGTAATCATGTCGACGCCCACGAATCTTGTGTTCCGTCTCCTTTCTTTCCGATACTTTTCTTGCCGCCCCCTTTGCTCCGGTTTTCTTGTGCGACATCAGGCTTTTCGTATGGTTTCGCTATACAGCCCATGGCCTTGTTGAGTCTGCAGTAGTTCCCCACATAACAGCATCCAGCAAACCCGCTATCAAGTGAGACATCCATTGTCCCTCTACCCGAGATCCCTGAGGGTTGAGACGGACTCAGCCCATTGAACAGCCCAACCAGTCAGTGATGCGTATCATGGTTCTCATGGTCTGGAATGTGTCAGTGACTTGTAGCCTTCGTACTGTGGAGCGAAGGACAAAGGATGTCATCAACCTATTAAACACTTGTTAGAATAATCTGACGTACAGCAACTAAATGTTCTTGGGCTACTAGGGGATAGCAAGGGGGGTTGTACGTACCTACCTCATCTCGCCTGACTGAAGCTGTGGCAACTATAGCACCTGTAAGGAGTCGGCCATGCAAAGTTACCTCGCTGACATAGAGTTCGTTTCCTCCATGTTTCTGCAGCAAAACAACTCAAGACAAAGGGCAGATACTAAGTCTGTTGTGCGTATAACCACAGACATATTCCATGATATGATGCATCACTGACTTGTTTGGCTGTTTGACATGCCGGATCTGTCTGAACCCTCGGGGATCTCGCGAAGGGAAACAACGAAATGCCTCACTTGATAGCGATTCTGCTGGATGTTTTTACTCCGTCTAATCATCTTTCTTATTATTCCCCAAGATATCTTAGAATGATGTTAGTTGTCATGGTAGTAGTGGTGGTGGTCAGAGACTACATGGACACAGGTGGTAAAGGATCTGGTCATACCTGGCTCCAGTGCATAAAATATCTCCACATAATACATAGCGAAGTATTAGGCTCTTCTGAGCTGCCGCACATGTCAGACACATCCATGCTACCGAGTCCTCCCTGGCATAGAACTGCCTTCCCTCCAAGTCAGGTACCCGGACAAGATCTCGTGACCAACTGGCACCTGACTATTCTTTGCTTGTGACACTGGCAGCTACCCCGAGTTGATACAGTTCTATTAGAATTGCACAAAGACATGAATACTCAAATTCACCAACTATATACTGGAGGAGATACTATGTACGCAATACGCTTCTAATTCATCGCCGTCTCTACGAATTCAGACAGAAACAAGCAGGAATCATCTCAAAGCCACTTTCGTCCCATTCCTTGAACAAACGGTCAGTGTAAACTCCTCCACCCACGGCCCTGGATCCCTGCTTTCTAGCACAGAGAATCTCTGGGCTAGCCGAACCGTGACATACCCTGCCTCCGTTAGTGCATACTGTTGGCCAACGCAAATTCGTGGTCCCCCGTTGAATGGCAAGTACTCCCATCCCGGACGGATCTCAGCCCAACGTTCAGGCCGGAACTCATTTGCATCCGGGCCGAAAAAGTCTTCACGACGGTGAAGAGCATAGACATGATAGGCAACGATAGAGCCTTTTGGCACGAAAACAGGCGACTTGCCATCTGGCCCACCACCGCGCGGAAGTACTGTATCTGTGTTGGCAAAGCGCAAATTTGCTGGCACAACAGGGTGGAGGCGAAGAGCTACAGTGCCAAGTAAGCCATGTTTCATGAGACTTTTTGCGGGTCGGTACTACTTACATTCATTCAGGCAGAATTTCACATATGTCAGATTACGCAGTTGCTCGTACGACGGCGGGCGACCTTCTAGGAAAGAAACTTCCTCGCGCAATTTGTTCCAGATGCGAGGGTTCTTTGCCAGCATAAAGAACAGGTTGCTCAACAAGGATGCCGTGGTATCTCGCCCGGCCAGGAGAATATTCATTAGTTCGTCGCGAATCCGCCTTCGGTCTCCCGTCTGCTGGGCTAGACTATGCAGGAAAAGGTAATTTTTCTTTCCCTTTGCATCGTGACTAGCCTCTTCGATAAATGGCTTCTGGTTGCTGGACTGCTCTCGTACTTTCAGTGCACTGTCGACGAATTGCTCCACCAATTTATGGCAGATATGATTGGACTCTTCTGCTTTGCGGTCGCGCCTGAGATATTTGAGCTTACCAAGGCGTAGGTTCATTGCGATGGCCTTTTGTGCATAATTGAAAGCTCCGGCAAAGTCCTGTTCTGTACTGTCACGGGTCCCAGCCAGTCGCTTCTTGAGGCTGTGCACGCTGTGCCCGAAGAGGAATTCCGTTGCAGAGTCGATGGTGAGCTCGAAGAATAACTCCTGTAGATCGACCGTTCTGCCATCGGTTGGGATCAGTGAGACCATTTCGTTGACGAGTTCCTCAAAAATATCCAAGTGCGCGACTTGCTCTTTCGCGAAATTGGGACGGACCATGGCACGCGACTGCGCCCAGTGCTCGCCGTCGGTGGTGAAGATGCCATGGCCCAAAAGCGGACCCATTGCATCGATACGGCCTGCCAAGCCATAATCCTTAAATCGGAGGGACAATATTGTCTTTATGTTCTCCGGCTCGCAAGTTATAACAAAATGGGTCAATCGTCGTTGTGTATATGTGTTGCCATATAGCTTAAATCGCTCGCTCAACCGCTCGAGAAGCTTATGTTTTCTTGCATTTCTAATCTGCTCAAGAAGAATATCGAGGCCGAAGATAGGATCCTTCTGAGGATAAGATGGTGGTGGTTGACAATTGTTCGCTTTCATTATACGACGATGCGTCCATTTCCGTTGCAGGTAGGTTATGGTATACCAAAGAAAGAGAGTGACAGTCGCAATCGTAAAAATAGGATGATCAACTTTGTTGAAATCCATGGTGAGCTACAATTCTATCTAGAGATAAACAAGAGATGAAACTTCTAGGTTGACGGGCGACCAGAAGTCCTTTTAAGCAGCAATTGAGTGATGTATCAGATGATGGCAAGCTGCAGCTCCGGTGGCTACCACGGAGGGTATCTGCCGATCCTGGACCATACCTTGTAAGTCGAGAATGCCTGAATCATTGGCGAACAGGGTCTCGTGTGGAGTAAGTACAGCCTCGGCAGCAGGATAAGACTGGCATGCTGACACAACCATCAAGGGAGATAGGAATGAGATGATAGCCTTTCAGCCATTCATGCCCTGTTTTGCGGGGTTCTTACTAGCGTTCAGCTAGGAAAGATGCTTGCAGGAAGGATCAATTCGACCTGAGTCACTCTAGTTGCGCAGCTCATCTCTCACGTGTCAACTTTCAATTTTCATATAATCACCGCAGCGTAAGCAGTTGAACGATAACAGCATGAAGGTTCCAAGGCGAAGCCCCGAATGACATCACTCAAAGCGATGAAGATTTTTGCTTCTTCCATTGTTTGCTTTCTAATTCATTTTCGTTTCCTGTTATGCCCCTCAATGCCCATGATGACCTGTTCCCGAGATGCAGAATCTCGGATCTTCCCTAACAATACTAGCCGTACGCTCACCGAGATGTACGTACATAATCCAGCATAAGGCCCGCCCTTTTCAACCAAGTGGACAGGCCCTCAAGCGGTTCAATCGGGTGTAACCACTCCAAACTTAATCCAGTAACAGTTGAATGAGGTAGGCCTCACTCATTGGGGATCACGCTTGCCTGGCGACTGATGTGATAAGCACTAGAAACCCCACGCGACAATGCCACCACGAATGGGTGTTGCGTATTCTGTGGCCTATACGCATTCACGCAAGTACCGATAAACTATGGAGGTTGCTGCTTGGAGGCAAAAAATAGTTCAAGTGACGCCTTTTTAGCCCGGTGCTACCCCACACCGCAGCAACGCAGTCTCAACAACCGATCTCACTCCCAGCCACCAAGGCGTGAGATTACTTTCCACCTCGAGGATGACCACTGATGGAAACCTAGGAGAATTAATCGACATCTCACCAAGACTGAGCGAGCAAGAATATACGCATACATACTTTCCTTGTTTGAGAAAAGCAACAAACCCGATCACTGAGCATCGAGCAGCTGGTCATCACGGGCCTCCAAGCAAGCATCGGTCATCTTATCGATTGCATCCGCCCGCTCCGTGTCTGCGACCCAACCTCTGTCCACCAATCTGGCCAAGGCATCCCCCACCCAGTGCTGGCAGTTCCACTCCAAATCCAAATACCCATTGCGCACCGGCGTTCGTGCCACCGTCTCCCGAATATCATCTTCCTCAACGGAGACCGACAAATCCGTCACCGGCACCGCACGCACCAGATCCCCAAGTTCCATCGGATCAGCCCCAGGGTATTCCACATATCTGTAGAGACCCTGGGTACCTAGGATATGTAGGATACTGCGTTTTTGTGATGCGAATTGCACGTACAGAGCCGTGTGTCGGTATTCGCTGTAATCGAGGGGATCGCCTCTGTAGACGAGGATAAAGAGTCTGTGAGACATGCTCCCAGTAATTATCTGTTGGTATTCTGGAAAGTTCTCAACTAGACAAAAAAAAATCCCCCAAGAAACGGGGATAGCAATGGTAAATGATGATCAAGTATGGAGGGGCAATTAATGCGGTGGTCGCGTTAAAGAGATACGCCGACCGGGAAGAAGACACGCTAATCGTTATTGGGAAGTTGTGGATGGTGGGTTGGTACTGGTTCTGCCTGCCGAGATTTGTGTGTGCCTGAGCGCATCCAAGTCACACAACCAATCAGTATGCAAGATTTTCGAAAGTATCCAACATAGACTCGTAATTTCAGAGAAAAATAGCATTGTTTATATTTGGACAAGTATGATATGTGGCTTGCCTTTGCATTTACAGTGGCAACGGAAGGTTGCCCTGGAAGCTTCTGAAGGTTCCGGAAAAGTAAGCATACTATGCCTCACATGATACTAACTATCAGCCTTATACTTTGATCAATAAACTGCTAATCATCGAACAGTTAAGTTTCCAATTAGACAATGAATTTTAATGATAATTGCCGTTAGCCAAATCTTGAATAAGAAACCCTTGTATATTCTAGTAGGTATGCAAGTACGCACAACTTGTTTACCGTGTTTATCAACGCAAAACGCTACGAACTCATAACATACGATCTAAAATAAGATCTTCAAGCTAAGCAGTACCCCACAAGATAGCAGAGATCTTACATGGATCTTCAAAGATCAGCACTTAATCGAAGCACATGCATTTGAAGAAGAACAAGCAAACGTCAGGTCAAATTCCTGCGGTGTAAAGATACTCCGTCGCTATACCATCGTTATCATCCTCGTCATTGATGGGGAAGAAATAGAAGCTCACTCCCAACAATAACTGGTACAGCTACAGGAGATATCACCCTAAGCTACTCCCACTCAGCCTCAACGTGATCCTCCTCAGCGTTCCAAGGCTCTAAGCTTCGCACTTATTTCTTTCCGGTCGAGCCACCGTTTCCGCTGGGAGGAGTGTAGGTCGAACCACCACTTCCGTTGTTGTAGTAGGTGCTTCCATTGGGGTTAGAGTAGTAGTAAGATCCGTTGCTGAGAGGAAGGCATTAGATGGGTTTCGGCTTGCTCTAGTAGAACTATAGGTAGGCTATTGAGATGGATGACAGACCTGTTCGAGTAGTGGTAGGAGTTCGAGTTAGAGCTACCGGATCCGTAGTCGCGGGAGCACCAGTGGTTTCCCTTTCGATTAGGTTGATTTGTTAGTCGTTGTTGAGGGTGACTCATGGTATATGGAACTTACCTGGCTGTTGGTGCCGGAGCCCTTGTAGCTGAAGTCCTTTCCGGAGCTGGACATGGTTGTGGTTTGTTTTTGTTTAATGGAGAGAAGATGTTAGATGGTCAAGAAAATGGGGTTTGGATGAAGAGTTGGAAGTAGGATAGAGGGGAGTTGAGAAGGGTGGAAGTGTATTACATAGAGAAATCTTAAATGGAAGGAGGGGCACGGCAGCAGCCGGCAACGGATCTTAGTTCCATGTCGAGAATATGGATTTTTCCTTATTCCATTCACTATATCCATACGGGTAATTAGACTGGTATATTTGACAAAGAATGGGAGATTGAATACACGCATGTAGGATGTTGGCTGGAAATCAGGAATCCTTACTAACTAAAGTAATCATCTCTTAACTACCCAACTCAGCTGAGAATCCCATACAAATTCTATGGGAATCCCAGCTAAGACGGATAACATAAAGATGAATCATTTTTCACATAAAGTCTCGTATTATTGACATCATTCTGATTATTTGATTCTTTATTCACTGTTTCTTACCCTACTTGCTTACCCCGCTTTCTTTGTTTAATGATCAAACTGATGATTCATGATTCTGATCTAGAATCATTCACTGAAAATGATAAATAAGGTCTTTCATCCCCTAGCTGAAGCAAACAAGCAAGCAAGTTGAATTCATTCACTTCCTATCTAAAGGATCCACTTATTTCCTATTTAGGAAGTAAATGTTTGCTTCCCTTTGACAAGTTTGTCAATTGTATTGACCTCTTATTATTATTATTATGATTACTTTGATCTAGTTTCCTGATTAGGACTAGTGATATTACCTCTTTGGGCTTAGTGCCGTATTATCTAATCAACTTAGCTTCTTGCTAATTCTTTCTACTATATGACCGGCCTAGCTCCGCTAGACCGCTTTTCTTTTTCGGACTAGCACCCCTGGTCCGTCCCAACATAGGATAGTAGACTTGTCACGGCGTCAAGTAGTTAAATAATTGATGTATCGAATTTGCTGTGACCGAGTGGACAAGATCTTTAATGATCTTCAATTTCTATGTGTATGAATTAGTAGAGATCTCCTTCTGTTTCAGATACGTTCAGGCCATCGGCTGCAATATGATGGAGATACTATAGTCGATACTAGGACTAAGTACTAAGAATTGGTCCTGCTGGAAAGCTCTCTACCCAATTAGGAAGGCACTTCATTGGCTTATGCATTCTGCACAAGATCTTATGTCAGCAAGTCACCTTCCGTGCACATTCCCAATACGGAATAGTCCCACTCAAAGGGAAGTATGGCGACAGGTGGGATCTCTGCCTTATCCCAGCCTAGGTCCTGTACCTGACAGCTTCAGGGTAACGGTATCGGACCCCGAGGTCCCTGCATTGGCTGCATTGCTAATAGAGCTTAATGGCACGAGCTCGCTTCAATCGATAAGGCTGCAGTTATCACGCTGCATTTGCAGAAACCTCTTGCCATGTCTGGCGAGAAGTTATCTATACGAGAAGCCCGTCCTTTCATGAAACAGAAGACACTCTTCTATGTCTAGCTAATGCGTTGTTCATCGTGCAAGATCACGGTGCTCAGAGGTGGTATGTCACATCATTTACAGCTGACGTTTTCAGAACATCACTGCCCGGACGAAGAGACACTCACACTTACAAAGGCAGTGAGGTATTTCACCAACGTGTCTTGTACACAGCGCCTAAGTCCTCTTCAATCTTTTAGTACTACAAAATAAGGTGTCCTATACGGATCACGTGTCTCTTCTCAACCTCATATCTTCCAAAAAGCATCAAAGTTCTGACGGTCTACACTCATCACCGCAACCGAGCTACCATGATCAGGTTGTCCCTAGGCATCTGATTTGTGTTTCTAGGCATCTGTCTAATTTTCAGTTTACAACTTTGCTTGGAATGGCACTTACCATTCAATGGCTGTGCTTGAGTCCTGTTTGACCATGTCTCTATCGCGATAGCTCAAGCACTATTTCCGGAAAAGGCAAGCCAAGTCATCCTTCATCTCCCTTAATAAATTTGCAACTAACTTCATAGCCCATATAAAATCTATTAGAGTGTTTTTGATTCTCTCTTCTTCATTTGCCCCATACTGCCGATCCTTGGGTTCATGCTAAGAGCCTTCCAACATGCCATCTACGAACCGACGCTTCCCCCCGACGCTCCCAAGTTCTTTCTTGATTGAGCTGCTCATAAAAATGATCAGTTTAAGGCATTCAAATAAACTATATATGTCCGCCATACATACAAGCTTTTACAAAGTTATGATCGACAGAGCAAAAGCACTTACACAGCCGAGCTGCGAGATCTCACTAGTGATCTTCGGATCTTCAGATCGACAGCACAACTTCAGAATACCTTCTACAATCTATTAGATGAGGAACAGCTATTTTCAGCATCGCGCGCGCATTTATTTCTTCCACTCAAAGTAGGTACAATCACTCAAAATCATCAACAGAAGCAGAATTAACAACTCAACAAGATCAGATCAATCCGGATAGCTCATCACTCATTTTTCATTCATCCCCAGGGCTTGTCGTCGAGACAAAGACATTGAAGCGACCGATATCTCATGCGTAGAGATCCATTTAAACGTAGGTGACAGTGACACTGTCGCCAGAGACGGAGGTCTCGGTGAGGACGGTGCTGTCCTGCTCGATGTCCATGATGGTGGCGTCAGAGGGACCGACAGTGGAGCCGCCGCTGGTGGCCTCAGCGTTGGTGAAGGTAACGGAGCCGAAGTCAGCGAAAGCAACAAGGGAGTCACCAGACTCGAAGTCCTCAACAATCCACTCGGCGTTGGTCTCGCAAAGGTCACCCTCGACGTTGCCGCTGAAGGTGTGGCTGACGGACTGACCAGTGGTCAGGTTCTCAACGGTGGCGCTACCGCTGCTCTTGCTGGTGGCCTCGACAGTGACCTTGATCTGGTCACCCTCGGAGATGGAGAGGCTGTCAAAGTTGTAGGCGTAGTCGGGGTACCACTCGTACCAGGCCTCGTAGGAAGTCTGGCCATCCTCGTAGCAGAAGTCGACACCGGTCTGGAGAATAGCGGTTTCGCAGGTGTCACCGTCGATACCAACCCAGGCAGAGGCGCAGTACTCCTCGGACTGTCTCTTGTTCTTGTAGTAGCCGTAGCCATAGTCACCGTAGCCACCGGAGCTGCTGCTAGAGCCAGCAGAGACACTGGGGACAGTGAACTCGCCAGTGACCTTGGTGTAGTCATCGCCGATCAGAACGGCACCAGCCCAGTTGGAGCTGTACTCCTCGTTAGAGGTGCCGTTCAGCTTGAGGATCTCCTTGTCGGAACCGGGGATGTAGGGAGGGTTGCTGTGGCGCTTGGCAGCGGCGCGGGCCTCCTTGCGAGCACGGCGCTTCTCAGTGAGAGGAGCAGCCAGAGCGGCAGTGGCGAAGAGGGAGCCGGTAAGGATAGCAGAGAACTTCATTTTGACGTTTGAAGGATTGGTTTCTTCGAAAAGATGAAGAGCTAACTTATTGACAAGGTCGGTGATGGAAGAGTGAGATGATCGAACCAGGCGATGCTTGAGAGACTTGCGATGCTGGATGAAGAAGAAAAGCAACCAGAACAGCGGAACTCAGGCTTCTATTTATGCTCGAGCTTTCTGCGGATGAAGCTGGTGTCTTCTTTCCCTCTTCCATGCTCTTCCGATAGCATGCAATCCGCCGACGATGACACCACTGCTCCTCCTCGTCCGACGGAGTTTAATCTCCAGGTCCGCCTCCTAAAGTCGACTAAAACCGGGGATGCAGAGTCGTTCACCGTCGGGGCAGCAGCAGCCATAGCTGCAGAAAAGAGACGGTCCCCACCCAACGATATGGGGGAAACGATTGTGGACTGCAAAAGGTCGAGCGAGAGTGGAGCATCATACTATCCGTCCAGCATGGCCCGCAAGAGTTGGCAACTCTACGCAGAGAGACATTCTGGTTGGAGCGCAATTCCTTGCAAGCCAAGATTGTGTTGCATTAGTGATCATCTCCTCTTCCTTCGTCCAGGCCGCAGAGGACCCCCCCCCCCAGCAAGCCATATCCGCCTTTCTTTTTCCCCCTCATTGTTGGATCCCGTTTCTACCTAGTAAGGTCCTCCTTCAGAACCTTACCTAAAGGGCACGGCTAGCCAGCCAGCCGGCAAGCCAACCCGCGGACTAAACTCGGATACTCCGGATAGAACGAAACTCTCCCTAGCAGTTGCGGACGAACATGCAATAGTACAGCAGCCACCCGATCCAGGAGCGAATTGAAGTCAACCAGACATCGTTCCACCAGTGGAGAGGGGAGGGGAGGGGGGGGGGGAAAGGGAAGAGAGGGGGGGGACGGAAGTCCGACGGCTTGGCCCAGCGCCGGGAGCAGCGGCAACTAACTAGGTTACTCGGCCTTATCTTACGGCAGGGCTTAAGGGAGCTGGCTGGCGCTTTGGGCAGGTTTAGTATATTGGAGTGGAGGATTAGTGGGCGGATGGCGTTGCCCGAAGAGGCATGGGGGAGTGAAAAGGGAAGAGGCACCGGCGCAGGCACAACAAGCTTCGCCCAAGCCTTGTGGGCGAATGATAAGCAATTAGGGAAGGGCGCGGGTTGGGATGGGAACTGGAAAGAGGATAGTACAAATGTTAGTAGTACCATGCTAGATAGATTAAGGTAAGAGAGGGGGAAAGGTGTGCGGGGAAAGTCATCAATTGGCTAGCAGGGGTTTGATAAGAGAGGATTGGAGAGGAATAATTCTAGGTAACTACTATCTCGTAGAATGCTGCTGGCTGGCTGGCTAGCTAACAACAAGACTGAGTAAGAACAAAAGTAGACTAGATAAATCGAGGGGGCTTGAGCCGGCGTGTCTTGGCCGAAATCGGATGTAACCTTTTTCAGTCAGTATATTGGCAGTTTTGTCGAAAGTCTGCACTGCACGGGCAGTGGAGATCAGGTGAAATGAATCATGACGGACGAGGCGCGAGGGGAATCCGATTCGGGGCACAGCACCAACAGCGATGGAGGGTTTAGTGTATAGAGAAATAGATTAAAAGCGGGAGTCTAATTCTGCAGAGATAAAGCCCGGTGACAAGGCACAGTAACCAATTAGATACGATAGAGCTAAACAGTCAGACAATGCCGCCACAAAAGGATTGTTTGGCGTGGGGGGGGTTTCTTTAATAATCCATCCAATTATAACCAACGGGCGGGATCCGTCCGGCTGATCCCTTCTTGATTGAGCTTAATCTCCTTGACGAATACTGTTGCCAATTCGCTTGTAAGTTATTATTTTTAATCAATTGTTATTTATACTTATCCGCTTCGGCGAATTTATCTCCGGGTTTTTTGCTTCTGCTATTTGCAGCTGATTTCTGCAGGCACCCAACTTTACCTTACCCAGTCTTACAAATTGATTGGTTTGATATGTATTTTCAAAAGAATAGTAGTAAGTATCTTGTATCTTCTATCTGTTTCTTGCTGATCCCGATTCTTCCTTCACTTTATAACAATCCAATCATGTTATTCATTCCAGTCTCTCTAAACTTAGCTCCGAGCCAGCTCCAGCTTCAGCTTCCAGCTTCCGGCTCGGGAATTGACTTTCCCTTTCTAGGAGCTTCTCCGGATTTAGCAGAGTACTACTAGACTAGTAATAGGCAGCACAAGACAGGAACCTAGCCATATGGAGCAGTACCCACTACAATAGCAAACAAGTTCAGTTTAATTCCTCCTTATCAAACCTCCGATATGACCGATGGAAACCATCATGCAAAGATAAGTTGTGTGGCAACTACGCAGGATCCCTCTGAACAATTCAGAAGATACTAGATACGTACTAGGTACTCCGTAGGGTACCGGCGAAATCCTTCCTACGAACTAGCTAGCCAACTAAGCGGAAGGTCGGAAAACCCGCTTAAGCCCCCTGACTTAATCCCTCAATCCATGCCCTTTTCCAACATCATAATTATACTCATCGTCCAGTCATATTCCTGGAACCTACCTACCTCATCGGAGATGCAAGGTACATACCACAGACACAGACATACAGGTTATGATATGGTATGGGTTTGGTTGGTTATACGCGGTATACGCCGGATATGCATGAATTTATTATCTCTACCGAGCATTAATAGAATAGAGTGATTAATCCTATATTTGCATACCATGGATATTAACGATAGTAATAATGACAAGGGTCATAATCATGATCCTGATCCAAACTACCCGATCATTCGAACCAGGCACGACACGACTGGGCTGATTTCTGCAGCTTGGCCAGGGAAACACCCTCCCCCCTGGGGTGGAGCGCTATGACATAGGTGTTTAATTTGTACTATACTATACTAGTTATAGTCAACTCAATTCATTTAAACAATTTCCCTTTCTAGCCGAGATTGTTCTCTATCCGGATATCCCACCTGGACTTTCTATCTCTTCCAGAACCTAATACTATACTATCGCTAAAACATCTTCATACTATACTACTAAGTAATAGAATACTCCACCGGTCCTCCGACAATTCAAAATGAATCATCATTCAAACGTCGCAGTTTCCCCCGACACCATGCGAGCGATATCATGCGAGATGCACGTGTTTATCTCAAACTTTCCATTCTATGCCCTGATAATGTCTGCACGGGATTCCGTGGGGACTCCGTGACAATTCCACAATGCTTGTCTGAAGAAAGAGATAGCGGAGAGTACTCGGGGAAATTTTCTTTTCCCCCAAGGTGCTGTTTTGCAGCATGTGATGGACTGGGGTTTTGTTTGTTCTGGATCCTGATTTTGTACTATGTATGTATGTAGTGGTGGAATGGTCTAGAGTATTGCTGGTGGGTTTTGGGGTGTGTTTCTTGGTTGGTGAGGAGGGAGTGGGTGGCTGGGTGGCTGGGTGGCTGTTCGGGGCTTG